ATATGCTATTTTTCATATTCTGCCTCAAAATAGTATATTTTTTTATTTTTCCCCATACAACTTCAACCTAATGTAACATTTCTTTATTTTTAATAATTATTCTTTAATAATCTTACTTTTTTATGATGGTTTTCACCATCTAAGCTGCTATTTTTAAAAGATATATATTTTTATTGATTTCAGAGAGGGAGGGAGAAGGTGAGAGAGAGACAGAAACATCAATGATAAGAAAGAATAATTGATCAGCTGCCTCCTGCACACCTCACACTAGAGATTGAGCCTACAACTCAGGCATGTGTATATAAATATGTGTCCATTATGTGTGTGTATGTGAGTGTGTGTGTGTGTGTGTGTGTGTGTGTGTGTGTGTGTGAGTTTCCCTCTTGAATTCCCACCATATTCTAGAATGTAAGCATCTAGAGGCAGAGGTCCATTTTGTTCACTGGCATGTTCTAAGCACCTAAAGAGGATCTGGCACATAATAAATGCTTTTGAGTAGATGAAGGAAAGAATAAATGAATGAGTGAATGACAGGAATGGGGAGTGCTAGTGAGGAGGAATAGGTTTCAATTACAATTCAGTGATGAAAGAACACCTCCCAAAGGAGGTCACATGGAAATAATATTCTGAAAGAGGCAGTTATCTGGGGGAAGGGCATTCCAGCAGTGGGAACAGCACCAGCAAAGCTCTTCCTTTGGAAGTGTCATGGCTGGAAAGTTATGAAAAACTCCCAGAAATCCAGGGTGGATAGGAAAGGAGGACTAAAGAGAAGAGAGAATTAGAACAGAGATAACAGATCCTAATTGGATAATGAATTAGTGAAGATATTGAGGATAATGAGGTGAAGGAAGGAAGAGGTGTTGCAGAATGCTTAATCTGAGTGCAGCTTTGTCTTTCCTTCCTCCTCCTGATTTACAGACAACAGAACCCACATAGAGTTTAAGTAATTTCATCACGGTACCGCCACAAACCAAGTGAGGAGTGGGACGAAATCTTAGTGACCACACTCACATCGCATCTGTCCTACTCCACTGACAGGCCTTCAAGCCCCAAAGGGAAAGCAATCGCTTGCCAACCTCTATCTCTTTGTAGAGTATATTCTCCAGATTACTTCAGTTTAATACTTTCCTTAAATATCAAAGTTCTTCTTTTTCTTTTGGGGGACAGGGGAGGGTAGGAGTGTAAAAATGAATTAGTATGATTTTATACAATATTTTAACATTTTAAAAATTGTGTAGAAAATAACTCCTTTCTATCTATAATTTTCCTTTTTCATGACTGAAGTCTCAGCTCCTGGACAAATACCACTGACATTCCAAGGAGAGTGATGTATAATATTGTCAAATTTTTCATATAGGTAAATTTGATGGTTTAATACTGAATTATGCAAAACAAGAAGCAGTTGGTTTAAATTAAACTTTACAATGAAATAGTAAATTATCAGAATATCTGAATAATGAAATGGAAATTTAAATAAAAAAGCATATGCATGAAAAAGAAGAGTTCAATCAAAATGGGTTTGCTTTAAAAAATGAGTGTATGTAATCTCTCAACACTACTTTTGCATGAACATTGAAGATGCAATTGCCCATTATTTATTGTATGCATTTAATGAATATTTTATAAGGTCTGGGCAAGCACTACATTTACATAGGGTATGGCCACTAATAAAGGAGAAAGGCCTTTGATATAAAATCCATCAAGTTCTTCCTGATATTATCTGCAGCTTAAATGTTAAGTAAATGCTCATTTCTGTTGGGGTAAATAGTATTCCTGTTTGTTAACAAGGGTCATCCACTAACTGTAATACTTTTAGAAATCGAAAAGGCAGAGGCTGAGTCCACCAAATATCCTTTATTTTCATCCCTAATTAGTTTTGTTAAAATTACAGTACATGACTCAAATCTATGACTACCTTCTAACCTATGAATGCCTTCTCTACTTGTGTTTCTCTCTGCACTTTCTCTGTATCCATAAAGACAATGAAAGACAAACAGACATAAAGAAAAGCATTTACATGCATGGAGCATGACAAAACTCCTATCACTATTTCTTACTCCAGATTTTTTGTGATGGCCACAAAGTTGACCTAAAATTTTTTTAAGTCATCTTACCGATCACTTCAGACATATTCTTAGGTAGAGAATTAATTTTTAAATCTATAAAATTATACATAGATTTCCACTCTGTTGATTGCTATAACTTAAAAAGGTTAAACAAGTATGACCTTTTGTAATACCTTTTTGAGGTGCTCAGCAAAACTTAAAAAATGCTTTATTTTAAAAAAAATTCCAAGGATGTAAGCCTATACATCACCAAATGAATAAAAGTTAGTCTCCAGTTAGGCTGCTCATATTTAGCAGATGTCTTATCATTAACTTTATAGATATTTAGGAGAGATTTTTAAAAACTGGTTTGTTTTACATGATATCTCTGGAAAGAGAAATGGTCCTGAGATGTCCTATCAGGCATCCACTTTGTAAAAACACAAAAGAAACTCTTACAAATCAATGTTTCTAAAATTATCTTTGAAGTTCTGGAACAAGGCTCAGCTGGCTCTCTCTTCTTTGGTTTTGTCTCAGTGGTAGATCAGAAGATTTGAGAATAGAAGGGCTTTTTCAATTATACAATAAGCAGCAGGTTTCCATTAAAGCACAAAGTCATCATCTAAATGTATGCTAGGTGTTCTTATAAATAAGTATAACAGGTAGATCTTTGACTGATTCATTTATTTCTGATATTAGCTGTGTGATTCTGAAGTCTAATGTAAAATATATTTATCAGTTAGTAAAGTGCTTATTTATTTTCCTTAAGTGTGTTCCAAACTTCTTCAGCCTTCCAAATGCTTTCCTAAGCTTATGGTAATTAACTTAGCCCATAATTATACACAATGTTTTCTAACCCTTCTTGGTAGCGTCCATGACTATCAAGAATTTCAATGTGTTGATCGAGTAGTATGACATTGGTGCAGAGATGTGGATCATTACTAACATTGTTAAGGAAAATCACAGCTGGGCAGTAATTAAAACATTCAAATTATACTTATATAAGAGCTATTGCAATGGGGGAAAGAGACCTCAGTTTAGAACTGGTCTCAGTTCCAACTGCAGCAGGGACAACTGGGAATTGAAAGCCAAGAGGCAGGCTGGGGGTTAGTGGATGGAAATTACTTAGAGGAAATAACAGGTATAGGGGCATTCTGGTTAATTGGACTTAGTAGGATACTTCCTGAAGGTAGGCCAGGTAAACAGAGGACACTAAAGGGAGATTGGGGAATGATACCACTGGTGATGAGATATCTAGTGTGGGGAATTCACTCTAACCTGACTCAGTGTTATTCTTGCTAAACTGGGTGAAGCAGAGATGAACACAGAACCTAAAGTCAAGACCTTGTTCAGAGGAAGGTTTAGAGGAGCCTGACACAAGTTTGGTTAAGGAGAGAGTCTCTCTCTCTCTCTCTCTCTCTCTCTCTCTCTCTCTCTCTCTCTCTCTCTCTCTCTCTCTCTCTCTCTCTCTCTCTCTCTCTCTCTCTCTCTCTCTCTCTCTCTCTCTCTCTCTCTCTCTCTCTCTTTCCTCTCTCTCTTTCTCTCTCACACACACACACACACACACACACACACTAAAAGGAAGAGAACTATTATATACTAACTTTTTTCCAAGTTTGTTTCTTTACTTCAGAATGCCCTTATCTCCTAGTAATGAAATTTTACACAAGGGAACTTTACAAAAGAAACATTGAAAATGTATCATAAATGTATATATTAAGAAGAATGTGGAGAATTTAGAGGATATACCAAAAAAGTAATGAAAATTAATAAAATGCTCTAAATAACATGAATTAGACAAAATAAAAGGGACTTAAACACTTCCAACTGTGAACAGCTAGAGATAATAACTCATATAATCTATCTATCTATCTATCCATCTATCTATCATCTATCTATCTATCTATCTATCTATCTATCTATATATCTATCTATCTATCTATGTTAGCCAGCAGGGGGGTTAGTGAGGGACAAACAACTGAACATCAGGCTGCATGGGGCGACCAGGCCAGCAGAGGGGTTAGTGAGAGACAACGAATGGATGACCCAACAGGCTGCGTGGGGTGACCAGGCCAGCAGGGGGTGGGGGCAGTAAGAGGCAGGCAGGCAGGTGAGCAGTTAGGAGCCAGTGGTCCCGGATTATGAGAGGGATGTCCGACTGCTCGCTGAGGCCTGATCCTGGGCCTCAACCAGCAGTTGGATATCCCCCTAGGGGTCCCAGATTGGAGAGGGTGCAGGCTGGGCTGAGGGGACCCCTCCCTCAGATGCACAAATTTCGTGCACCAGGCCTCTAGTACTAAATAACTAATACAGACTTCAGAGATGTTTTTGTTTTAAAGATGAGGAAGCTAAGTCCCAGAAAATGTATAAGATCTTTAGTAAAAAGATCAATAACTAATACCAACTGTTTAACCAGAACAAGCCAAGAAGATTCTACATCTGGTTTATATTCCCATTATATCAAGAGCCTTATTTTTCCCAGCTGACATGGCTCAGTGGTTGAGCATTGACCTATGAACCAGGAGGTCATACATGGTCCGTTCCTGTCAGGACAAATGCCTGGGTTGTAGGGTCAATCCCCAGTGTGGGGCATGCAGGAGGCAGTTGATCAATGACTCTCTCTCTCATCATTGATGTTTCTCTCTCCCTCCCTCCTTTCTCTCTGAAATCAATTTAAAAATATATTTTTTTAAAAGAGCCTTATTTTTACTTCAGTGCAAGGTTTGTTGAAATACACTTCAAATTTGGACATATTTATTTCTGGCATTGTTTTCACTTTTTTCTTATAGAACTTTCTCTTATTATCATCATTTTTGTGGTTAATGCTGTGTAATTAGTCACCCTCAGAAATAAATTGCTCACTAGAACCTATTACAAATTGATGGGAGTACCATGGTGACTACCATATTGAAGAATTGGTGAATTTTTATTAAATTGAATTTATTTTTTTTCCAGCAATGACAATGCAGTTTATTAGCCATCAGTTCCCTGATTACCATGATCCCACTATTGGTGAGTAAAACATTCTTTTCTCCTTTAGCTCAAATAAAGATACTCTAAATAAATGGCTTACAAATATTATTGATATCAGTGGAGAATAAGAAATATATTTTATACCATGACTCAGCACATACACACATTAATATATAACATGTAAGCCACCAAAATTATAGCTTCAAGAAACAGTATTTGTCCTTACTTCTTGCCATGCATTCTCATCTTTTCCATTCTATTCCATTTCTTTCTGATAAATGATGGTTGGAATACATTAACTTTATTTTGATTTCAGGATCCACTAATGGATATCTATTGCATTTAAAAAACTGTGCTCTGGATAATAAAACTGACATGGTTGTGTGCTTTTTATTTGGTCATTTTCTCACTTTATCAGTTTCTGGATCTTGTAGTACACAAGTAGTTTACCATGCTAGTGGTGCATTTGGAAAGAACTCGAGGTATAGATGTAATTTTGTTTACCCTCCTCATTTTGCAGATGAGGAAACTGAGACTCAATGAGTCAAATTATTGTTAGAGTCAAAAAATCCAGTCATGTTTCATTCTTCCATGCAATTTTCTTTTTATCACAAGTGCAGGAACATCGCAATTGGGAACACCTTTTCTTCCTCAATCAAAGCAGAAAATATGTCTGAAAACTGCTTTACTAATCATTCAAAGAGCCACTTTAAAGAATCAGTTGAAAATTTCCAAGCACAATCTGTCATAGAATTCTTTGTCTGGAAACGCATTGGTATTGAACACATACCAAGCATTATGTCATGGCATAGAAAAACAAATAGCTTCTGGACCCCTCATGGTTTAGATTGTGAGTTCCTTTGACTACTCCTCACCCTTTCACCCTTTTACTTTAGTTGGTCTGAATATCTCCTACCCTTACAATGGGTGTGATCCTCATTTAGCAATTTTAATTCAAAGTCTTACTGTGTATGTAAAATGCTATTCTGTAAATAATTATCTTGTATATCTTCCTGCAAATCTTCCAGGATATTTGCTTGAATACTACTGCTGAAATAAATGAAATGTACTCATTTTTAAATGTCCCATGACTTATCAAGATCTCTTCATCAGTTGAACTGAATTAGTAAAATTTAAGTGCAAGCAATTAATATGCTGTTCATCAGAAAGCACTTCCTCAAAGAGTTGACTTTTGTTTCTGAAGCAAAAATTATCAGTTTGTAAAGTTTTAGAAGCGATTAACTACAGTCCATGTTTGCTAATCCTCTAAATCCATTTTCTTATTATCTCAATTCTGGAATGTTGATAACTTTGCATACCTATTATGACTTATAGAAGATAAGAAATCTCTGGGCAAATGCTCTGAATCTTTTATTGTGTTGGAAAATTCAACTGTATATTATTTAGGAAATCACAAATCACTCTGTTCATCATTTTCCATCATTGTTTAAGCTTTATATGCAATGGTATTTAAAAAACCTACCTTTTGCTTACTAGACTCTCATGTCAATGGCTTGCATAGGGCAACATATGTGAATACACATAAATATCTCTTTCAAGAGGAATAAAGTAGAAGAATATGATGATTCCTTTAGATATCCATGAGGCACATCCATCATTTGAGATTCCATACTCACAAAGGGCTGAAGTCATATCTTAACATGGCTCTAAGTAAAATAGCTTTAGAAGAAGTTTGAAAATGGAGACAGAGCACTTGATTACCTTAAATTCTATTTTCCCATCATTTCATTTCTCGGCATCTCTGATGGAAATAGAGGTTAACAATTTTCCACTGGTATCCTGTTTCAGGAATGTGAAAGTCCCAAATAACTCACTTTTCTCCTGCTCAAGCTACATAACTATAACTCAGTCTGGCTGACTTAACGGCCCCTCAAGAGGAATGTCCTATTACTACATTTTGAAAATACTACAAATTAGAGAAGAATACACCTATCAAGGATACTTATTTCATGATTTATATAATAAATGACTATTTTTCAATTCCGGTTCAGATCTATTTGTCATCCTGCTGAGTGAGACTTTGAATAGTTTTTCTCTGAAATCTTTGAAAGATTTGTATGGTTGTATTATCTCTCTAGATTCAGCTTACAATTATTTTTCTTTCAAATCTACATAAATTCAAAAAATATAGTTTCCCTTTAGCCATGAGAAGAATTAGGCATATCATCTGGTACCAATATTCTTTCCAAAGAAGTAATTGCTCCCCTTAAGTAGGAGCAACATTTTCAGTCAGTAACCAATGGGTCTAGCTTCTGCAAATCCACAGAAAATACCTACGAAGGGAACATTGAAGGTATTCATTCTATTATTCCATGTGATGAAATGCCACTTAAAAATTAAATTAAGTTCATGCTAAAGGTATCAAATATGAATAAATTCAAGGTTTAGTTTTATTTTTAAAATATCCTATTTCTAAGTATTAAAAGTTGTGTTAAGTACACTTTGCTTTTTCTATAGTAAAATAATTATGGAAATAAAAAAAATGACGAAAGGCCTTGATGTCCAACCTTTCATACTAATAAACACACATGTCACTTTTAATTAACAGTAAATCATTAGAGGTAAGCATTGTATGCAATTCAATTAGCCAACAATATTTAAATGCCTGGTATTTACAAAGGAATCTGTTTATCCTCTAGAACTAAATTAGCCTTTGAGGAATTTTTATTGCAGGAAGAGGACTTAAAACAAATATACAAATATTTATATCTTTGAAGTCAGTTATTACTATAAGAAAGAAGCAAACTGTTACGGAGTTTTGAAAGAATGGAATGACAGTTTAGTGACCCTCTCTTAAGCTTTATTTATTGTGATTTAGGATCACAGCTTCCTATATGTTTTAAAAGCTAAGAAATTCTGGCTCTCTAGAATTCAAGATTCTTTGGGAAGAATTTTCAGAGAAGTTTGGACTTCTTAAAGACCTTTGAGACAATGACCGAGATAAGTTTGTTTTGCTATATACTTTTAATCATATTGTAACTTGCTTGAAATTAGAAATCTTATTGTATATAATTCTAATTTAATATGAATTAGATTTCACGGTGTTGATATTTTCTGCTATAGAATATGGTGTCCTTTTCCCCAGGTTCTAATTTGTGGACTGCATATTTAATTCAAATTATTATTTATTAATACCTCCTTTCATTGAGAATTATTTCTGTTCATGTTCACTGATAATCAAATGAATGCAAACATAGAAAGTAAGCATATAAAACCAGGTCGCTCCACTTGGCAATTTAATACAGAAGGAAACAAGGTATGATCTCAAATAGCATGTCCTGAGTAATACTTGATGAGCACTAATACTTGATGAAAAATTCTGAACCATGAAGGATGTGCGTTACCTCTCAGTTACAGAGCATTATAACTTTGATTACATCATGTGTGTAATTGGTGTTTATCTCTCACTCTTCTCAAACCGTTACTGTTGCCCCCTTCCTTCACAAACCTATAAAACTTTACATTCACCTACTATGTGTTAGTTCCCATGCTACACACCAGATATAGAAAGATAAAAACACAATCTGTGACTTCAATACATTTCAGGTTGGTTTGGAAAATTAATAAGTATACAAGACCATGTGATGTGTTCACTGGGAAAAAAAGCACAAGATGCTGAAGGAGGACAATGAAGGCACATCTTGCATGACCTGAAGGGACATGAAGTACATGTAGAATAGATGTCCTTTGCACTGAGTTTTGAAAGATGCATAGGAATTAGGCAAGTGAAGAGGAAGTAAGAATAGATATTCTCAGAAGAACAAAAAACATAGGCACCCAAGTAAGATAATGCAACATGTAACTAAGATGGGAAATTTTGGGAACCAGAAGTTCTAAGGATGAAATAAATGACACAATATGCAGGTTGGCAAGAGGAAGGAAAAGATTTGCCAGATCTTTAAAGAGTGTATAGGACCAGCTAAGCGTTTAGATAGAGATAGTTCTGTACTTTTCTCTGAGATAAAAATGAATATTGCTGGCAGCCTACTTAACTTTCACATTTATTTTATTTTATTTTTATTTTTTTTAAATATATTTTATTGATTTTTTACAGAGAGGAAGGTAGAGAGATAGAGAGTTAGAAACATCGATGAGAGAGAAACATCGATCAGCTGCCTCCTGCACACTCCCCACTGGGGATGTGCCCGCAACCCATGTACATGCCCTTGACCGGAATCGAACCTGGGACCCTTCAGTCCGCAAGCCGACGCTCTATCCACTGAGCCAAACCGGTTTCGGCTTAACTTTCACATTTGGATAGATCCAAGGCAGACAAAAGTGAACATGCCCCGACTTTAAATAATAACTGGTTATCCCTACTAGACTTTACTTCCTTCAGGTTTCTTTATCATAGTAAAGCCCTTAAGTTACCAGGATCTCATGCCAGAAACTCAAGAGAAGTCCTTGATAGCTAGTTCAACTTCTATATTACGTCATTCATCAAACTTTGTTGTTTCTACCATCTAAAAATATCTTGAATCTGTCCCCAACTTCCCTTAATTTCTTCTGCCTTCTTATTCTAAGCCATCTCCATTTCCAGTTTGGACTGGTTTTTCTAATTGGTTTTTATACAGGGTCCAGAAATATCTGTATACACACAAATTTGCACTGCTAAACAGTTCCCAATGTTAACAGAATAAAATTCTAAGAATAGAGTGAAAATTCTCATGGTCTTGTTACTTTCATTTTCACACTTGCTACCCACCACCCCTTTGGGTGGCTTCAACTACATCTGCCTTCTTTTAGATTCACAAACTAGCCAAGCCCCTTTCCGCCTTAGGACATTTTTGCACCTATTTTAACTCCGAATGCTCTTTACCTCTCCACCCTCCATTTTGCCTATTTAACTTGTGCTTCGATCAAATTTCAGCTTAAATATTACTTCCTCAAAAAGTCCCTTTGAGAGTAGTATTATAAGTGAAATAAGTCAGACAGAGAAAGACAAATACCATATGATTTTACGTATATGTGGAATCTGAAACAAAATAAACAAACCAAATAGAAACAGACAACAGACT